GAGGGAGCTGGATCAGATCCTAAGACAGGGTTGGACAATAAGCAGCCTGCAGGGCAGAAACAGTTACCAGATTTAGCTCCTGGCAGCCTCAAGATGTTTTATTTACCCGAGCATCCGCAGGTATGGCTGCTTGCAGGTTCTGTTGGCTGCAGTTTGCTGTTCCCAGCCAATGGGATCCATAGGAAGCAGTGCGGGCCAAGCCACCAATTCCCGCAACTCTCATTGGCCAAGAATGGCAAACCGCAAGCAAGAGCTACAAGAGGCCATATCTGCAGACACTCAGGTAAATAGCTCTTGGCTGGCCGCCAAATGTTTTAACCCTGGTGAACTGCCTGTAGCCCATAGGGCGAGATCAGGCAATAAGTGGCCTAAGACAATTTTTCATAACAACTGTCCGCTTGTGTAAACTGGGGCCACTTATTCTGCACACCTATCCACTAAAACCCTCTTAAAGTCCTTTTGCTTTCAAAAAGGTAACATTTTTACCTTCTAAACAGTGCTTCTGTCAGTAACAGAAACCTATATAAGCAATGACTACATATTTCTGAGCCATACTTTGGACCATTGCTGTTGAATAGATGCTAGAGACATGAAAGTTTCCAGTATAGTGCTGAATTCTAGGCTATGGCAGAGTACTGTGCTCTTTGTTCTTCCGTAACATAAATCTAGTTTAGAGGATATTTGTCAATATATAGGCAGTCCCAAAGTTACGTACAAGATAGGGACTATAGGTTTGTTCTTAAGTTGAATTTGTATGTAAGTCGGAACTGGCTCCAGATTCAGCTGCTGCTGAAACTGATCAGCGGCTGACTACAGGAAGCCCTAGGCAGAGTTGCTCTGCCCCCGGCTTCCTGGAATCAGCCGCTGATCAGTTTCAACAGCGGCTGAATCTGGACTCCTGGGACAGAACAGCTGGGGCACTGCCGGGTAGGTCCCCACAGGACCAACCCGGCAGCACCCCAGCTGCTCTACCCCAGGCGTCCTGCAACAAAAGCCTGCTCCTTTGCCCCGGAGCAAAGCCACACAGGCGGCGGGGTCCCCCGCCTCTGCGGCTTTGCTCCTGTCTCCCTGCACACCAGGGAGACCCGGAGCAGCTTTTCTCGCCCCGAAGGACGCGGTGGCGGGACCTGTGCATTCTGGGCAGTCCCGCCGCCCGCGAGCTCCGGGGCGAGAAAAGCCCTGTTCGTAAGTGCGGATCCGACGTAAGTCACTTAGCTTCTGATTTTCAGGCCTCTAAGTTCTACTTACAGTCTTTCTTGTGCAGTTAATATTTTTAGGACAAGTGTGTCAGTGTCACCAAGTGATGCTGCTACACTGTCACCCGCCATTTTTTTTATTTTTTTTTTTTTTAGTGTGCGAGTAAATGTTCAATGTTGGGAAGACATGCTGTACTGTTAAGTTTTTGTTATACAACGTTCTTTGTAGCAGCAATGATCCTTGGAGAGAGAGACCTGCAATGTGAGCAGCAGAAGAGTTTTCTCTCTGCCTTGGTCACTGATCAGAGTTAATTTATGCCCTGGAATAAAATGACTAGGGAAGTTGTGGAATCTCTCTCTCTGCAGATTTTAAAGAGCAGTCAGACAAACACCTGTCAGGAATTAGTCTAGATAACATTTAGTCCTGCTAGGAGTGCAGGGGTCTGGATTAGATGACCTCTCCAAGTCCCTTCTATAATACAGAGATGCTCTCTAGAAAGTCCATGTTGGTGTTAAGACTAAGGGATTATCTACACAGCACCAATAAAATGCACTAGAGAGCTGTGATTTGTAAAGTGCTCTAATTGCCGTGTGTAGATCTTGCTACATTAATGAGAATTAGATAGCTTTCAGAACACACTGAGTGTCAGTGTGCTTTACAAATCATACCCCTTGGGCATGCTCTGCTATGCTGAATAAATAAGCCCTTAGATTCCTGAAAGAAAGGACTGCCTGTACAATCATCTCTCTTCCAGGACTGGTGTGCATGTGTAAATAAAGCAAGTTACTCTTAGGACTAAGGATGTTAAGAAGCAGGTAATCCACCAATCGTGTAAAATTTTTATCGACTGCATGACTAGTCAATAAGGGAAGGTTTCCTCAGTCCCAGGCTTGCACTGAATCCAGGAGCTTTCCCCACTGTGCTCTCCAGTTTAAATGTAGTAAGAGCCGAGTGCATAGACAGCCTGGCTCCTACTACATTTAAACTAGAGATGCAGCGGGGGTAGGTCCCAGACGTAGCACAAGCCAAGACAGAGCATTCCTGGCTCCCACTATATTTAAACTGCAGAGCCGCACCATTTTTAAAAGTAGTAGGAGACAATGATCAATCCTATGGACAATCCCCACAAACCTCCCACTTTACCTCCACTTGCACATGGATTCCAATCCAAGGAACAGCAGCACAGTTGTGAAAGCAGGTCCCTCTCCCCATACCACATATGCAAAAGGCAAGCCCAGAAAGGATAGTTTATCGATACGGCTGTTGTAATATAGCTGTATACATGGATTACCTTGGAATGTTGCACTAATGCTTGTAAACAGAAGAGTTCGACTGTCTCTGATGGGACTTTGCTCAAAGTCTCGCAGTAAGGAAGCCCATTTCCTCCAAAACACCACAAGCCCCCCTGGAATAAGAATCCATACAAATTAAATCAAATCTGAAATGACTAAATAAGAAAAATGGTTCTAGTTTGTTTTTTTTAAAGCAAAGTGTACAACAGCCTGTAAAGCTGTTATGCTAAGTGCTCTTGTATTAGATGAAGTACCCCTATGTTATAAATATTAGAATGTTTCAGAAAGGAAAGAAAATAAAACATCCCAATAGATCAGTAGCTTTTCTATAAAGCCACTACTTACCTTATATTGTTGTTCTGCAATATGCATTGTACACATATACATTCTACTGGGGGTGTCTGTGTGCTCAATCCACTGGAACCAGAGACTTTTGCAAACAAGCACCACTAGGCCCCCGGCTTTTCTCATGCACTACTGAGTGCATAAAAGCAGCAGGTCTGCTGCCTCCTTTTCCATTTTGTCTCAACACTATCTAAAGCCATAAGCAGCAAGGAATGTGGCAGGGTCATAGAACGTAAATGTACAGGACACATCTCACGAGCAAGTGACACATCTCACGAGCAGGTAAGTAATTGTCTAGAACTGTACACAGCAATGATGATTGTGAAGGTTGGTTGAGGTGGTGGCGTCAGAGGATGGAATATTTCCCAGGAAATGTCTTACTACTAAATGATGAACTCTCTCTCAGCTCTGCCTTCAAGGATTAACACATTATTGTTAATGTAGCCTTACAACAAGGCAGCACAGACTGAGGCAGACGTGAGGAAACAAAATAGATACACTCAGCAGTGGCTGCATATACTGCCCTGCAAAAATTGAACATGATTGTGAACCCGCACTATCCTTGCTAGAGGGCAACACTCTCTCCTCCAGATGATGCATTTATGGCCGCACAGTTCCAAGAGGTGTCTGTGTGACAGACCAATACACACACACACACACACACACACACACACACACACACACACACACACACACACACACACACACACACACACACAGTATGTTTGAGGCAGACAGAGATGAACATTGTCCTTTTAACTGTGCTGACCCCTTTTAATTACAGAAGTAGATTAGGAAGTTCAGACTCAAGAATCTGAACTAACTACAGAAAAAAAATTAAAAAGGGGCAAACACTGGATTTTTCATTTGACTTAATACAATACCACTCCTGCCCCACTGCTTCTCATTTTTACAACAGCCTGCCTGAAAGCATAAGTAGCAAGGATCAGATTGCAGTTAGACCTATATAGTGGCAAAAATGGAATAGAGGAAGGAACAAGCTCTCCCTCATCTGTGCAAAACTCACAAAGTTGCCACGGTCCTCAGGCCTACTGGAGCAGGAGCAGTATGAGGTGGGGAAAGGGAAAGCTTTATCCACTCTAATATTATAAAATAAATATATTAGATCTTAAATAAATATTTTAAAAAGAGAGAACATTCTGTATAATTCTATCCTGAAATTAAGAACTCACCCTTTTTGCAGCTAGAGTCTGACTGCTTTCTCTTAAAGCAAGAGATGTGAAGTACTGGACACATTGCTCAAGGTCCGTCTGAGGTAATGACACCAATAACAATCGGAGCTCATCTTCTATAGAATGGTCCTATAACAAATGAACACAAACACTTAACACTGTCCAAAGGATCAGAGCAGGATTTTATGTGAATGCAAAATGATTTGGAACAACAGAAATTGTTATATGAAGTAATGCTATAAACTGAAAGGTCTGGTTTGAGTGTACTGCAACCTAAGTTAATGTTTGTAATGCACTCTGAAGATGTATTATTATTGGTAAGGGAGACGGGGAGCAAAGCAGAGCAAAGCTGCGGAGCGCGAGGGCAGCAGGACAGCCATAGCGCGTCTGGGCTGTCCCGCTGCCCCCGTGCTCCGCGGCTTTGCTCCTGTCACCTGTGGTACAGCAGCTGGGGCGCTGCCAGTTGGTCCCGTAGCGCTGCTCTGGGCGCTACTGGACCAACCCGGCAGCACCCCGGCTGCTCTGCCCCAGGCATCCCCAAGTCAGCAGCTGGCGAAAACTGACCACAGGACATACCACACTAATACCAACCCTGGTACCTTCCCTTGCAACAAACCCCGTTGCCAGCTTTGTCCACATATTCATTCTGCTGATACCATTATTGGACCTAACCAAGTGAGTTATAAGATCAAGAACACATATTCCTGCGCATCCAGAAATATAATCTACGCTATCATGTGCCGAAAGTGTCCGTCTGCTATGTACATTGGACAAACATCTCAGACACTTCGCCAAAGGATTAATGCCCACAAAACAGATATCAGACAAGATCACAAAGAGAAAACAGTTTCTTGCCACTTTAACCAGAAAGGACACTCTCTAAATGACTTAGCCACCTGCATTCTGCTACAAAGACCTTTTACATCTGCACTTGAAAGGGAATCCTCTGAACTGTCATTCATGTTAAAATTCGACACTTGCCAACAAGGACTTAACAAGTCTTTGAACTTTCTCACCCATTATCAAGACAGTTTCCCCAATTATCACCTGTAATACCATTAACTCACCAACATCCCACTCTCCCTACCTTTAATATCAGCAATTCACAGACACTTACCTTCCTTCCTCCCCCTTCCCACCCCCCCGCATCCCCCTTCTGTTCTGCAATGTGATTTGTCCTTTTCATATTTGTTCATTTTTTTTAATTGTATCCTTTGGTATATATGGTTGTGACTACTTTCTTCCACTATTTGATCTGAGGAAGTGGGTCTGGCCCACGAAAGCTCATCATCTAATAAACCATCTTGTTAGTCTTTAAAGTGCTACATTGTCCTGCATTTTGCTGTAACTAAGAAAATATTCTTTCTATACATGCACAAGAAGCTATTGCTATCTAAAGATAGTTTTACCACTTCAACAAACTCCAGTTCCAAGTGCTTAACCAGGACTCATTTCAATAGTCTGGCTTCTTTTTAAACTTGGCAGCAAACATATACTGCTTTAAATTATTTTAACAGATTATAGGAAGTTTAGGCCTCAAACAGATTGCCAATTTCAAAGTTTAATTTTAAATGAATTTATTTTTTAAATGAAATTGTATTTAATTTTAAAAATCTGATTTAATTAAGAATCGGGGGGTTTTTTAATTCTAAAAAAAAATATCAGTTTTTAGTCATGCTGGTCATTTCCCAGTCTAAGCATAAGTGCTGGAACTAGGTATGCAGGGGATTAAGGGGAAGAGGTGGCCCTGGTTTTCAGTGGTTTCCATTATATACAGGATTTCCAGTTTGGTTCAACAGCTCTCAGTACCTCCACTATAAAAATTGTTCCAGAATCCCTGAGTTCAAGGGTGATAAACCTGATAGTGCAAAGCTACTGAACATCACTGCTACATGCCATATCTAATTTTGCAATTCTTGAGGCTTAGAATGGATATTTTGCCCATGATAAGGATTCATTGTATTAAATTTATTAAAGTTCTCTCCAAATGCCTAGCCCTGGGTGCCCGATCCATATACTGAATACACAATATGATATACAAGAACTGTTCAGCCTACCTTGACACACAAATAAATATCAACCACTTAACAGAAGGATAAAATAAAACCAAACCCTATCAGCCCTGAGTTCAGCCCTAACCAAATGCCTGTAAGGAAGAAGTGTTCTATAGCATGCCCAGATGATTAACAAATTCAAGCAGAAAGCTGATTATTGGCAGAAGCAGCAGGAAAGGGACAGATGGTAAAACTGCATCTAAAGTGTCCCGAGGACCTGCAACATCTTTGTAGTTTGGGAAGTGACCTGAGATTGTTCTGGATGTGAAATGTTTGCTTAACTCATTATTTCCCTGATAATGCATTTCATCAATCAAAATTCCAACTTAATGAAGGTTCTAGTGTAGAATGTAGCCCTGTCCACACTACATACTTGTGCTAATATTAACTATGTCACTCTGGGATGCAGAAGACGTTATACTGACCTAACTCCCAGTGTAGACAGCATTATGTCAACAGGAGGGCATCTCTGTCGACACAGTTACCTCCTCGTGGGGAAATATAAGTACCTATGTAGACAGGTGAAGGTCTCCCTTCAGTGGAGATAGCATCTTCACTAAGCATAACAGGAATGCGGCTGCAGCACTGTAAGTGTAGACAAGCCCTGAATTGGATTATACTACAAGTGCTAAGAGTGGAAGTTGGCAGTGTGGTGATAATTATAGGCTGTAATTAGGAATATGAGTTAGTACATCTGACCTCAAAACATTGCTGTGATTTTTTTCTGTCATCAAAAGTGACTAGATGAAGATGCCAGAAATAGAGAAGCAGCATTTTAGGTTCTATATCATACAATTTGAAAGGCAATACCTTTTATTACATCACCTCATTGTTATTTTCTTTTTCTACGTCAAGACTCAAAAATTTATCTTTTTACTATCCAGTGGTTACTTTTTAAAAGAATTCCATGTTAGTGCCTGTATTCAATGACAACACTGACAAGATTCGACTAATACTCACATTTTCATTTACTTACGTCTTTTAGTTTTGGTAAGGGAGGCGGTGGCAGAAAAAAACGAAGATCAATATTGTTGGACCGAGCCAAACCAATCGCAGTCCTCTGATCACAAGCTTGGGCAAAGGTCCTATATTGATAATCTGTAGTAAGAGAACTTTGATGTTACAGCCAAAACGAGTCTTGAATATTTCAATTAATTTTAGTTGTGATTTCCATAGTACTTTATAAGTATGCATACAAATAGAACAATAAGGGTACGTCTAGACTATGGGGGTTTTTCGAAAGGAGATATGCAAATTTGTGCAGTTTTTTGAAAAAGGGTTTTTTCCCAAAAAAAGGTGTCCAGACTACTTTCACTTTCGAAAATCACATATGCAAATTAGCACCGAATTTGCATATCTCCTTTTGAAAAAAAATGTCGTCTAGACATACCCTATTACTTCAATCCATGTAACTAAGACCCAAATTTTCCATGATTCTGTTGCCGTAAAATCTAAAGTGGAAAAATAAATTGGTTGTCAGATCAACACTAAATTAAAGTAAATTTTAAATGCAGGGTGATAATCATTTTAGGCCAAAGTGACACACTTTAATAAAACAAACTTCAGACACTAACCAATTATATGTAATAGCAAGTATTTAGAGTTAGTGTTTTGAAAAGAAAACAAAAATCACAAACCAAGGCTATGTTTGCACTCAGGCCTAAGGTCTTCATTCAGACAAAAACTGTGAAGGATAGGTTGTAATCTGAAAGATTTGAAAATAGTGCTATGCTACATCTAATATATTTAAAAATATAGCATCATGGACCTGGCTAGTGCAAAGACTTACTCACAAAACATACATTTAATGAACTTTAAGGTGATAAAGTCAAGCATAAGTTAGGAAATGGCAGAATTAAGACCATCTATGCAACCTTCAGAATGTGCATGCATTATGGTACTATTTTTAATTACATTACACTTACCTTTTTTTCCCATGGGATCCCTGCCTCATTCAGCACACAGTGTTCATTTAATGAACATCTACTTAATATTTTGTTTTATCTTCATTATTCAATGTGTGGCCCAATTTCTTTATGAAGTTTTCTCTGACACTCATCACTATACCATTTAAGTATTTCACAAACATTAATCTATCATCAAATTCTCCTGGGAGGCATGAGAGTATTACCTCCAATTTAGAGATGGAAAGATGAGGCACAGCGAGATTAAGATAAAAAATATCCATTAATTTTAGATGCCAAATATGAAACACCTAGGATCCAATTTTTCAGAGTATTTAACATTATATAATCACTATATATGTTCAAAGCACTTACTGGTAAGTTGTCTAGCTCCACAGCAAAAAATCAGAAAGCACAATTTATCAAGAGGACTATCCATGCTGTACATGCAGCTGATGTGGTATGACACCTCTCTTGCTAGACGCCAAGATGTTTGGATGTACAGGATTAGCTTCCATAGGCAGAAAGTGTACTAAAAAAAGTCAGCACTCCCAAAATTCTGCCACTAAGAAAAGATTTTGCAGTGCAGAATTGAAAGATAGAAGCATATGTTTTAGCATTATTATGATGGCAAAAAAATGCCCTGATATCTTCCAAGCAAGTCTACCATATTTGTCAGACATTGAACTCTGAAAAAATAGAGACAGGAACCCTAGTATTTTCTAAGTATAACATAGTTAAAAGAAAATCTAAATCACAAAACTGAGTTTTTATTTTGAAAAGGGTAAGCACACGAAGCAAAACCTCCTTAAACATAAAAGGATGTCAGCATTTAGAATAAAGAGCTAGAAGCTGCAACTTACGACACTAAATTAGCCTTAAAGAAAAGTTATCTTAATTAAGTGTGGGTGAGTTTTCTACTTCTCTCTGAGCTCACACAGATACTAAAAATACTTTAGAATAAATATTTCAGGATGATAATAGAAAAATCTTTTACCTCCAGCTTACCACATGAAATCTATCCCAAAGTGGTTATTACTATCCAATAGCTAACAAAAGTGGTCTTAATGAATTGTGTTGATAGCCTCCATCCTATCTATAGTAGACAATGGACACTACAAAGCCACCACCACAATAGATGGTCTTCTTGTAATCCCATCACAAAGATCAAAGAATTGAAAGATACAGACATTAAACTACCCTCTTGTCCAGATGAAATTTAGGATGAGGGACAATGGTGGGACTGTATGAGAGAGCCAAAACTGCAGCTACACATGCTCTGTTTTGTGTATATGAATGCTTTTAATCAGTCATCAATCAAAATTTAAATTTAAAAAATTGAAAAACATTTTCAAAAAGAATATCTGCCATCTCTTTTGGCTACCAGCCCCTTTTCATGTTAGCATTTGCCAATGAACACACAGCAGCTGCATGAAATGTTATCATGTTTCTAAGATTGGTTAGGTTGTCACAGCGTTTGTTACCATGCCAGTGACTGTTCTCTGCCAGTTGCTGCACTGCCTGCAGTCGAATAATTCTGTCTTCTGATTGACTTCTCTTCAAGAGAACCCATAAGGCACGGTCATGATCTTCTGCAAATGCACTGATATGTTCTTTTTATATACATATATAAAAAAACACAAATATAATGTTAAAATTAGTAACCACTTTTCTTTTATAGTCACCTTTTTATTTACCAGCCAAAATATTATTCTCAGGTTTATTAATATTTCTTAACCGTTTATGAAGCAATCATTTAGTAACTGCTACAAAATAAAAAAATTGGTAACAAACTAGTATAAATTAATCAATGTAATCCTCAGAAGACCCTGGTCAAATTCTTGGTCCTACTGAAATCAGTGGGAATTATTTAATTGAATTTAATAGGGGCAGGATTTCAACTAATCTTTTTATATTTTATACTTCTATAGAATCTCTAAATTGAGAATCTCAAAATGCTTTTCAATAAAAGCTCTGTTTTGTGGCCTGTTGGAGGAATGGGGGCTGGGAGGGGAAATAAGTTGCTGGTTAATCAAATATTCTAGTTAACTAAGAATTATATTTTACCAATGGAAAACCAATTTTCAAAAAAATACAATATAATAAAATGAATGAAGTATAAAATAGCATAGAGGTATCACCAATCCAGTAGCAGCACTGCACTGCAGAGTGGTTAGTTACTTGTATTCAGAGGTGGGCAATAATTTTTGTCTTGACTATCCTAAACAGTTTGGTATCATCTGCCAACTTTACTACCTCACTGCTTACCCCTTTCTCCAGATCATTATGAATATGTTGAAAAGGATTGGTCCCAGGACTGACCCTTGGGGGACACCACTAGTTACCCCTCTCCAATCTGAAAATTTACCATTTATTCCTACCCTTTGTTTCCTGTCTTTTAACCAGTTCCAAGAAAAGCTTTCTATACAGTACTGTAGTTATCTTCTGTCACTATATATCACTATGGGCAATGCATGGTGTACACCCAGATCACTTAACATAATACACTTAACAATAAAACTATACTGAACATAATTTAATCTTTCTTTGATTCAGAAGGCACTTCAAGATCTTGCAATGTCTCAGGGTCATCCTTATCAATGTCAATTATCATTGTAGATGTAGAAGGTGTAGGAGGCTGAAGCTGTAATGACTATGACACACTCTGGAAGCTGCTTTTTTTAATAAATGCCTGATTTCTGTTTCCTTGCTTGTCTTCTGCCTCTTTGGCATAGCAGAGTGCAGAATGTGCAACTGCATAACGTGCTGGGCAGCACACTAGTCCTGGTTACTAGATTGAAGATTTGTTTTGGGAGATATCAGAAATGTCAGTTAATTGAGCTTTCTGGTTCACTGAGTATTGGATAACAGTGCTTTTACTCTAGTTATATTTAAGAACTGATTCTGCATAATGCTTACCAGCCATAACTGCCATTGGCTTCAGCAAGAGTTGGAGGTGATTAGCAGCTCTCAGGATCTGGGCCTTAATGTATTGAATTACTCTCACAACACCTCTGTGAGGTGCATATTATAATTATACCCATTAATAGATGGATAAAAGAGAGCAGACATAAAATTATTTGCCCAACATGTCACATCAAGCTGATGGCTGAATCAGGAACTGAATCTTTACGTCCTGACACCAAATCCTGTGCTCTATCATGAACATTACTATTACAAAGAGGTTGCATTCCTTTCAATAGATAATAACAAAAATACACACCTAGTCCCTAAAATGAAAAATCTCCCAGGACTTCTTCACCGAACAATGCTTTTGGCATCCCAAAAGTTTATGCTTCAAATCTCTTCTGAAAAAAGATGTCGAATTCTGTCCTAACATGTGTCTAATATTTGCAATCAAAATATAAAGCATACAAAACAAACTGTTTGTAAAAGTGGCGTGAAATACTACCAAATAATATCAGATACATAAGGAAAATGTGTCTTTTTTTCTAAGATTAATAGATTTGTACTTTTCTAAACATGAATATTAATCACAGAAAAGCCAACATTTCCACTCTTAATACCTACCATCAAAAGGTCTCCGGAGAATTTTAGCTTCAGTTTCTAGTATTTTCCTCACTGCTTTATGAAGTTCTTTCCTTGCCTTGTGTGTGAACCCTGTGAAAATGATATAGGCTTATTCACGTTGATAAGGGAATTGTTATAGTTTTATGTCTAGGAAACAATAATCGTAAAAGTTTATTAAAAATTACTCAAACAGTTACTAATTGAGAATATTGCACATTTCTATTTTTTTAATTTAAGGTTATTCTCTTTACATAGGTGTGCCTCTTGCTAACATCAAAAGGAAAATTAATACACATGTAAATTGGGCAAAAGGTGATAACTTTTTTTCCCTCTTTAAACTGAAGGAGAGACTTAAGACCTGAGAATCAGATTTGAAATAACCAGTTTCCACAAAACTATAAATTCAAGTTATAGCACAATTAAACTTAACCTTTATCCTTGCACAGTTGGCATTTTATTGTGTTGGGGATCTTTCAAACTTTCCAGCACATTTCACAAAAGTAGGGATGTGTTATCAAAGCATCTCTACATGCTCACTGGCAATGTTGCATGATTTGTATTGTTTATTGCCACCTTCTAACCAAGATCTGCCCACATTTCAATGCTGCTGTAACTAAATTATTTAGTTTTATATTTATTTTAATATGGTAGTTCCATATTATTTTGAGAATTAATAGAAAAAGGAAATTCTTCCAAGTCTGTTATGCAGCATTTCTATGGACTGACATTAAGAAAGTCAATCCTGCATCTATAATGGCACTACTTATGTTCACCATTTAATATGTAAAAGAATAAAAACAACATGTACAGGAAGAGGCATAGCATTACCAATCTAAAATGTTGTTGATTTAAAATAGTCTGTTAAGTTCTGATAAAGATGGTCTCAGGAATCCTACATCTTAGCAGTTACAAAGATGTTTCACTGAAAGGATTACAGGGTTTCAGGATTTTGTAATTAAACTTTTTTTATTTTTATTTTACAAATTACAATCGAGTAGATTAAAAAGCTCATGTAAAATATTTTCTATTCGAGTATTAAAATAACTTGAGTGCTTTTTATTTATGAGATAACAATAATATTCTAAGCCACATAAAGTCTGAGGCCGAATAATATGGATAAGGTATGACAAAAACATAAAAATATTTTTGTTGCAGGATTAGATCTGTACTCTAACACTGTGGTTACACAAGAAAAGAAACAACTACAATTCCACTTCCTAATAAGAACGATACAACGGCAGCTCTCATTAATCCATGAAATAATATAAGTTTAAGTGACTATCAGCTATACAGTACATGTGGACCCTGTAGCAATCTAGAATCAGGAGTATGCAAGGGTGGCTTGATGTAACCTTAATACTCTCCCACACTAGGTTCTGAGTTCTGTGCTATGCTTCGTAGTGGCACAACTAAAAACCTCACACTATGTTCGTTAAGGGAGCAATTTATTTTTAGTTCTCTTTTACCATCTCAGTGTCTCGCACATTGTTTGCAGAGCTTCTTTCTCAGTTCTCTCCACACACAATTTTATACAGCTTACCATGGGATTCACTGGGATCTAAAGAAACTGTATGTATATAAATATAGGACTTCAGTTTCTCCTGTTGTACAGCTTGAGTATTGAGTGTCAATAATTTCTTCAGGGCCAAAATTTCATATGTAATAAATACAAAACCTCTACAAAAAGAAAAAAAAATGGAGTATAAATACTGTATTACTCATAAGCATAGTGTTTAAGTCCAGAAGGAACCACCATATCATCTAGAAATACTATACTAATGCAAACAATGAAGAAGCCAAATATAGGTTGAAAACTCTTTTAAGGTAAATAATTTTTTGTTCTATAGGGAATGTATTTTATCAAATACAATATACACATTTGATCTTCTTTATAATGAAGCATGTGACATGTTCCAGAGGCCAGTACAGTATAGTTTCTCAAATAATCTGGACAAGAGAAGAGATCTTAATGGGCAATACCATAAAACATGCAAAGAAGTTTAGCTTTCATTTAAAATGTAAGGTACTTCATGTTTAAAGATCCCTTAGCAACATTTTTTTGGAGGGAGAGGGGGAAGTGACATAACTTCTGATTTAAATATAAGAGATAAATTCAGTGGGTAATTATTAATTACAACTTACCCAAGAACAAGTGATCCAGCTAATTTTGAAATTTTTCCTTAAACAAAAAAAAACAAACACACCTGAGGTCGAACAAACTGTACATACAAAATGTTAGATAAAAGTTAAGGCATTTGCTCAGTTCTGGATACTATACATCAAAGATGATCATTTTAAAGAGGAATACAGAAGGCTGTTTATACTCATTTTTCTGTTTCCATCTCCATTTCTTCAGTAGTTGAAAAAACATTGATAGATACTATTTTCTACATTCTTCCTCCCTAGTTTTAAATTATAAAATATCCTTCTCTCAGCTAAATAAGCTAATAAACCATTTATTACTGAAAATATTTGTCTTCTCTTCAGTAGTGTTCCCTCTTGCTGGTGATATTCATATGCTCAGCAGCAGGTGATCAACAGTATCACTAGTACTGAACTGTTGCCACAAACTATGAAGATCTCTCCTTTAAGTAAATAATTTCATTGAGAGCTCTCTGATGTGTGTAGGTAAAGTCAGAAATATGCATGCTCCTGTCTGCCAAGTCTTGCAAAGGCCTCTCTAAGAAGTTTTCTTTATAGTCATTTAGTCAAATGCAGCTGATAGTATTTGACACTTACAGAGCTTTACACTTTAATTCTAGAGACACTGACCTAAGGCATTTTATACTTGGACACAATGAGCCTATCTTTTGATTTCCAAAGGAACTATCACTACTGGGAGGAGCAAACCCCAACAGGACATATCTCATTTTGTCAGGAATAAACTTCCTTTGGAGACTTGCCCCACCTCTCACTCCATCAGGTTCTGCCCTGGCAGAGAAGTAGCACGGACCAAGCTTCTCAAATATTTCTGACATGAAAAAAGAAGCAGCTACCTGCTGGAAAAGTTACTGAAAGGGTAGGTAAAACAAGATTGAAACACAAGGTCTGCTATCATCAAGCATGGAAGTATCCAGTCTTCGATGCTGGGGTAGAGAGATTAAGAATCCAGATGGCTCTCACTGTATCAAAGGAAAGGAAAAGAAAGGTAGAGGACAAGAAGGAAGGCTGGTAGGCCTACCGCAGGGAGGCATGAAAAGAAACAGGAGCTTAGTTTACTCATATGGTGCCCTTGCTTTAAGAATCCCAGGATAAGTTTATTCCTATGATCCTAAAGGTGAAAAAACAGACATTAAATTAGGTCCATTTATGGAAGCTTAATGAGATGGTAATTTTTGGAGACTTTTGCTCTAAAAATCTTCTTTCCCCCAAATAAATTAAGTTTGTACCTTCTCTGGTTGTGAAGCTAATTGTTTGTCATATGAACAAATTATTAACTAGTGCAGGGCTATCTGTCTAGCTATTCCATTCATATAAATTAAGTGTTAACATAATGATGATTATTGAAATGACAGCTCTGACAAAGTCAGTGATGGCAATATGCTGACGTTATAGGAGAGAGGCTGAAAACATGAACTCATCATCTCAAAGTATTTTGAAAGCACAAGTGGCATGCTGACGTCTTCAATACATAATTTAAATATATAGCTTATTGTGGCTACACAGTCATTTTTATGAGCTCATCAGGTTAATATTTATAGAATTGCACTTACTGATATCTTTCCACCATAGATCACTTTTTGTGGTTGGACCAGCAGTTCCTATTCTTCTGCAGCAAAACACACAATAAGAAGCCAACGACATTCTGTAGGTGTGCAAACAAAATTATTTATTTTGTCTATGAAATTAAAAAAGTGCAACAAATTTCTGTCTTTTCCCCTTCAAAATCAGAAAATTATTAAAGTGACAGACAGGTAGAACCTAAAAAATTCATTTGGTAGCTTGCCTTTCAACAACAAAAGTTAAACATAGTTCTTTGTAAAACTATGTGTTGTACAGTACTTGATTTTACTGGGCATATTTTTCAAACTACCTCTCTTCTCTAGTAAGTCTCCATTGCTGCATCTTAGGAACTATTCATTATGTACCACATGTTTCTACAGCTCCATAAAGATATTTTGCTGGATCATACATGCTTTTGGACCATCAATATGTAGTAATCTCATTGTTCTTTATAGTTAGAATTGATTTTATTTTAGAAAATTGATCTATACTACCATTTGCTAGAAGGGACTTTCAACAACAAATAAACATTTACGGCTCTGAAATGTATATTTCACAGAAACTGTTAGAAATCTTCCTGTTAAAAGAGTTATGATTAAGATTAGAGTTTTCACGCAGAGGTCACACTGTTCATGGTAATCATGAATCTGAATAGAGAGTCTGAAACAAAATACAGGACTAACAAGACCCACTTCCTCAGATCAAATAGTGGAAGAAAATTGTCACAACCATATATACCAAAGGATACAATTAAAAAAATGAACACATATGAAAAGGACAAATCACATTTCAGAACAGAAGGGAGATGGGGGGAGGGGGGAAAGGTAAATGTCTGTGAGCTAATGATATTAGAGGTGATAATTGGGGAAGCCATGTAACTCTATGGGATGTGAGTTATGAACACTTTGAGTTACAGACCAACTGTTGGTCCGTAACTTGTTCGTAACTCGGGGAGTGGCTGTACTATGAGGCCAGCTCCTCAAGCCACATACACAGGGAAAGCTTGGAATTACAGTACATATGCAAATTCAATTCAATTACTAATGGACATAATCAAGATATGGGATGGTGGACCCTTTATCACTGAAGGTGCTAACAGCTTTCTGAATGAAACAAAAAACAGGACTATGTAGCACTTTAAAGACTAACAAGATGGTTTATTAGGTGATGAGCTTTCGTGGGCCAGACCTACTTCCGCAGATCAAATTGTGGAAGAAAATTGGCACGACCATATATACCAAAGGATACAATAAAAAAAATGAACACATATGAAAAGGACAAATCAAATTTCAGAACAGAAGGGGGATGGGGGGGAGGTAAATGTCTGTGAGCTAATGATATTAGAGGTGATAATTGGGGAAGCTATCTTTGTAATGGGTAAGGTAATTAGGGTCCTTGTTAAGACCTAGGTGTAAGGTGTCAAATTTTAGCATGAATGACAGTTCAGAGGATTCTCTTTCAAGTCTGGTGTTAAAAGGTCTTTGAAGCAGGATGCAGGTAATCAGGTTGTTGAGACAAAGCCCTTTCTGGTTGAAATGGCAAGAAACTGTTTTTTCTTTCTGATCCTGTCTAATATCTGTTTTGTGGGCATTGATTCTTTGGTGAAGTGTCTGAGACGTTTGTCCAATGTACATAGCAGATGGACATTGCCGGCACATGATAGGATAAATTATATTTCTGGATGAGCAGGAATATGTGTACTTGATCTTATAACTCACTTGGTTAGGTACTGCAAGGGAAAGTACCAGGGTTGGTATTAGTGTGGTATGTCCTGTGGTTGTTGGTAAGAATCATCTTGAGGTTAGGTGGTTGTCTATAGGAGACTATGGGTCTGTCTCCCAGAGCCTCTCGGAGTTTAGTATCCTGTTCCAGTATAGGTTGTAGTTTATTGATAATGTGTTGGATGGGTTTAAGTTGGGGGCTGTAGGTGATGACAAGTGGTGTTCTATTGTTGGTTTTCTTGGGTCTGTCTTGAAGTAGATGGTTTCTAGGTATTCGTCTGGCTCTTTCAATTTGCTTTTTTATTTCTCCAGGTGGGTAGTTGAGGTTTATAAATGCTTGGTAGAGATCCTGAAGTTTCTGGTCTCTGTCAGTGGGATTAGAGCAGATGCGGTTGTATTGAAGGGCTTGGCTATAGATGATGGATCATATGGTGTGTTCTGGATGGGAGCTGGAAGCATGTAGGTAACTGTGTGAGTCAGTGGGTTTTCTGTAGAGAGTGGTGTCTAATTTTCCATTGTTGATTTGTACTGTGGTGTCCAGGAAATGATCTCTCGTGTAGAATGGTCCAGGCTGAGGTTGATGGTGGGGTGTAGGTTGTTGAAATCTCTGTGGAATGTCTGCAGTGTTTCTTGGCCATGCATCCAGATCATAAAGATGTCATCGATGTACCGTAAGTAGAGAAGGTTGTAAAAGGGGACGGGAGTTGAGGAAACATTGTTCTAGGTCAGCCATAAAGATATTAGCATATTGTGGGGCCATGCGTGTACCCATGGCTGTGCCGCTGATCTGGAGGTATAAGTTGTTCTCAAACTGGAAATAATTGTGGGTGAGAACAAAGTTACATAGGTCTATCAGGTTGGCAGTGGTGTCCTCTGGGATAGTGTTTTTAATTGCTTGTAATCGTCTTCATGTGGGATGTTGGTGTATAGAGCTTCTACATCCATGGTGGCAAGGATGGTGTTATTGGGGAGGTTATCAATGTTTTGTAGTTTCCTTAGCAAATCAGTAGTGTCTCAGAGATAGTTGGGAGTGTTGGTTACGTAGGGTTTGAGAAGAGAGTCTACATAGCTGGATAGACCAATAGTGAATGTTCCAATACCAGAGATGATGGGACGTCCGGGGTGTCTAGGTTTATGGATCTTGAGAAGCAGATAGCTTTGTATATAGAAATCCAGATTGTAATTCCGACCATCAGGGGGAGTCCATATAGAATTATTTTTCCTTTGTTGTTGATTGGGGGGGGGGGCTCCCAGAGCCTCTTGGAGTATGGTATCCTGTTACAGTTCTTTCAATTTGCTTTTTTATTTCTCCGGGTGGGTAGTTGAGGTTTATAAATGCTTGGTAGAGATCCTGAAGCTTCTGGTCTCTGTCAGTGGGATTAGAGTTTGTAGCTGGAGAGGTTAACAATATTATCCGGTGGGTTGAGGCAGTTGCTGTTGTAGCTAGTGATATGGAGCAGGTTAGAAAATTTATTGTCTTTTCTTTGTTGTAGGAAATAGAAGTGTGTATAGTAGATTTCTTGTCTGGTGGAACAAAAGTCTTGCAAGGTGTCAGTCGGTGTGGATGTTGGTCTTGGGATGAAACTCTAAGTTAGAAATGTCATTCTTGATGTTTTTCTGTTTCTTGTATAAAATACTTATCAGGTGATTCCTTAATTTCTTGGATAGTGTGAGGCAGAGTCTTTCACTGTAGTCAGTGCAGTATGTTGATCTTAATGGATTGTTCACTTTCAGTCCTTTGGGTATGATGTCCATCTTCTTGCACTTGGATAGAAAGATGATGTCTGTCTGTATCTATGCAAGTTTCTTCATATGGTTGATGGATTTCCATTCCAAACGGCTAAATGTAGTGCCTTGCATGTAGAATAGTGATAGAAATGTAGCTGTGTTAGTCTGGTGTAGCTGAAACAAAATACAGGACTATGTAGCACTTCAAAGACTAACAAGATGGTTTATTAGATGATGAGCTTTCGTGGGCCAGACCCACTTCCTCAGATCAAATAGTGGAAGAAAATTGTCACAACCATATATACCAAAGCATACGATTAAAAAAATGAACACATATAAAGGACAAATCAAATTTCAGAACAGAAGGGGGATGGGAGTGGGGGAAGGTAAATGTCTGTGAGCTAATATCATTACAGACATTTACCTTCCCCTCCCCCCCATCCCCTTTCTGTTCTGAAATTTGATGTGTCCTTTTCATATGTGTTCATTTTTTTAATTGTATCCTTTGGTATATATGGTTGTGACAATTTTCTTTCACTATTTGATCTGAGGAAGTGGGTCTGGCCCAGGAAAGCTCATCATCTAATAAACCATCTTGTTAGTCTTTGAAGTGCTACATAGTCCTATATTTTGTTTCAACTACACCAGACTAACACAGCTACATTTCTATCAATAGAGAGTCTGTGAGGAACCCATAATGCACTCATTCTGCAGCACTAGCTCCTGTGCTGTGGGTATTGCTGTGACACAACGGTTTGGCCCATCTGCCCACTGTTGCTGCAGCATCTGAGTGGCTCACAAATATTAACGAGTTTATCCTCACAGCATCTCTGTGACACTGTAACTTTCATTATCACCATTTAGAAAGGGGAACTGAAGCTTAGACAGCCATAGGAGCCAGTCTATGCTACTATGCTTTGTTGACACAGCTGAACTGAAGCAGCTGCACCACTGTAGCACATCTGGTGAAGTGGCTGGCTGCTGTGCACAGACATCAAGCGCCTGCTCACAGCTGGCCACTGTGCTCTCACCGCCCCAGCACCTGAGGAAGAAATGGCTCCGGGACCCACACATTAGGTTGGGGGGGGACTGGGAGTGCCTGGCTCTTAGGGTGGGGGGAGGCATTGGGTTACAGCGGGACGGGGAGGGCTCTGGGGAAGTGGAGGGAGATTGGGTTAGAACGAGCGTATGGGTGTGTTTGGCTCTGGGGGAGAAAAAGGGAGATATTTTGTTAATATTTTGGTTTTTATTTATTTATTCCCAAATAAAATCACAAAATATATATTAATTTTATATAAATAAATGTCAATTTTTACAATTGCATGAATATGTTTATGCAAAATCTCAAACTTACAAAGTATCTGAAATTTTCACAGAAGCCTGTTCTATTTGATTAACCATGGTCTATACTTGTTTTTATTTCAACAAAACAAGTTATGTATCAAAAAAATAAAAAGTACCTTAAATTTATATTTAAATTTAAAAATGATTGAGAGCAAATAAAAATTTAACACACCAAATTATTGTATTATCTTAAAACAAGACCTGAAAAAAATATAAAATATACCTAAAACATAATCTATAATAAATAATTATGACTTTCTGATAGAAGCACATTTTCTTTGGTGTCCCTGAAAGCTATCAGTTTTCATTTGTGTGGCCCTCAGTAAGCTTTGAGTTTGATATGCCTGCCTTACAGGGAACAGTATTGGGGACCTGATAGGAAAAACAGCCCCCCACCTCTGCTTTAAATCATTCTCCTTGCTCTTTTCTGAACCCTCTCCAATTTATTAACATCCTTCTTGAACTGAGGGCACCAGAATTGAACACAGCAGTGGTCTGACAGAGCTAAAAACCAGGAAACCAGTCCTTATCTTAGAAAATGTAACAACCAAGAAAAAACAAAAAAACAAAACCCCAACCATTCAAAATGGGGGGGGAGATGCAATCCCCTTGTAGTGGGAGTTCCAGTTGCTCCAAATCCTTAAAGATCAGTTTTAAAGGGCTTTATTCTACTCCTGTTTAAATTAATGAAAATTTCCCCACTAACTGTAATTGGAACAAGATCCTTCTCAGAGACACTGCTCATAAAAATATTCATGCATATGAGTAACTAGTTCAGTGCAACTTCTCACATGCAAGTACTTGCAGAATCAAGGTCTAATTTTTCAATACAGGGATGTGATTATTTTCTTTATTAGAGCTATGTTATATCTCTTCACTTAACAAAGAAGTTGCAATACTAAAAACCTCACAATGGTTTTTGGACATGGATATGTTTATTGAAAGTGATTACCACTTGTTTAATATGGAACAGATTAAGTATGGAAAAAAGATATGTTCTTGAATTGCCAGAAAATAACTATTTACAAGTCAAGTTTGGTCCAATGTTTATTCTCCATCTGCCTCAATGAAATAGAAGACGCACAGGGAACTATTGGGGAACATTTGTTTTCTATTTTTATTTTTTAATACATCCAACCTAATTAAGAGTAGTATCTTTAAATTCTTCATTCAGTGATTCTTTATTACCACTGGCAGAACATGCCACTTGAGCAGTTATTAAGATTTAAGAGGTTAAGAAAAACACACACTGCATTATCAAAGCTATTGCCTTTTTGCTGTGTTTCTAATCTTTCTTTCAGAAGATTTTATAGTACTACTTTATCATCTTCTATCATTCCAGTAAACAGTTACAGAGTTAATCTGTAACAGTGACGGAAAACACCGCTATTCCCCTATCCTTTGTCATTCTTTTGTCTTCAGTGACAAGAACAAGAAAGACAAGGTAGGTGAGGTAATATCTTTAATTGAATGAACTTCTGTTTGTGAAGGATAGAAGCTTTTGAGCTTCACAGATCTCTTCTACAAGCAGAAAAACAAGTGATTACTCTAGAACAGATCTGTCTCCAACCCAAAAGTTTAGTTAGCATTCTGCCTGTTTTCACCACAGGGTTTAGGGCTATTAACTACTGGAATTTAGGACAAACATGGTAGTATGATTTGACAACATTCACTTTTGCAAAATTATGTAAGGTCCTAACAAGAGAATTCCAGAATCACTAGAATGATGCAGGAAGCAAGAAGTTTTAGTCCCAGACAATTTTATAGCTATAAGCATCCTGATGTCACGAAGAGGAACAACCAGACACATTAAAATGCCATGCAAAGGGAAAAATTGATCTTATGTGCTTTTTACTTATTTAAAACATGTTAATGAAATCCAAAAGATTATTTTTATTTTTGCTTCATCCCCATTCCTCCTTCATATTATAAGATCAGGCCTTATCTAACCTTGGAGACGCTACAACAGCCCCCCCTTCCTCCCTCCCCCCCCAAAAAAAATTAGTGGAACAGCAGACAAGAGGCAACAGAGTGAAAGCTGAGCAACTGAGAGAGAAAGTGATTTTTAGTCAGGATGCTTAGGACTGGATACTTGTGTTGCCTTTATTAAGTACTATTTAATGCCAAACATCTAGTCAACATTTCAGAAAAAGAGTCTCTACTCAAAGCAACTGTAGCCAGACAGGAACCCTCCCTGTAACATCCATTTTTGCTTGTCTGGAGCATACAGGGCACACAGAGCAGAAGGCCCAGGCTGTGTGACCGTGAATGGCTGTAAACAAAGATACGCCAATTGCTGACCAAGAGGCTGCCAAGGAGTGCCCTTGACTTAACCCATATTGATACGAACACACAGCCGTCCGCGGGGGGGGGGGAAGGAATCTCTCGCCCAGTAAAAAAAATGTCTAGTACTCACAATTTAGTTATCTCTCTTGCAAGTGTAAATTAACTTGAAACTTGCTTGTAAGAACTGGCGCCACAATACGGACCAGTACAATTTGGCCTCTTAGATAAGAAAGAGGATATGGGCCCCCAGGGATATAAAGATGGGTCCAGCAGCACATTTACTCTGAGTGTCAATCTACCATCTATCTGCTGGTCGGGTTAGGTGTTTGATCTCCCAAGGTTCTACAGGAACGCCCACCTCGTATTCGTCTTTCCTAGGAATTGAGAGACCGGCCCTGGCCTGACATGCTTAAGTGGAGAGGCACAGAAGGGGGTAAAAATTGTACCTGGATGTGGTCCTTTGTCGTAAATGTACACATAGATTTAGAGCTCTTTAAAGATTAAGCTGTCACTTAGTACCATTATTTCTATTTTCTATCTTTATTTTCTTTGTAACTATTTTTAAAATCTGTATTTGCTAACAGTTAAGAAAGAGAGCAATAGCCATTGTAACCATATGGTTTTATAAGTCTTTTTAATAAACCTGTAACTGTTTAAGTTTTTAACCTGACTCCTTCAGTTGCTGTAACAAAACCAAGCACAATTTAAAAGAACTTCAGCCAGTCATAAGGAACAGGTATAGGAAGAGCTTGGGCGTTTGGATTTGTGTCACTCCCAGGTGACAGGTCCGTTGGGGCACCTCTCAGTCTTTTCCTAAGGCTGCCCGCTGCGAAGGAATCTTGCATTCTAGCAGCTAAAATCTAAGGTGTAATAAGCTCTTTCTATAAAGGGGCATCTGTTGGCCTGCTGGCTACCCTCTGCGACGGGACCCCGGTCCTAGCAGTAAAGACACGGACATTAAACCTTTTCTCGAAAACACACACACACATACTGCCCTGACTGTCGGCTGACAGCAACTGAACATGCCTTTGTTAAAAGGTTGAGTGTAGAACAACCCGGATTTCTTTCTAGAACCATTTTACCTATCACCAAGGGCCAAAACAAGGAAACAAGCCTCCCCCCCCCCCGTAGCTTCCTGAGCGTAGACCCCCCCAACATAAGAATGATTATACAGGGTCAGACAGATTGCCCATCTATCTCCCTTTCCTCCATCCCGACAGCAGCCAGTACCAGGTGCTTCAGAGGGAATTAACAAACAAACAGTGATCCATTTCCTGTCCTCCAATTCCAGCTTCTGGCAGTCAGAGATTTAGGGATACCCTGTGAATGGAACTGCATCCTTCTTACCCCCCCAACATAAGAATGATTATACAGGGTCAGACAGATTGCCCATCTATCTCCCTTTCCTCCATCCCGACAGCAGCCAGTACCAGGTGCTTCAGAGGGAATTAACAAACAAACAGTGATCCATTTCCTGTCCTCCAATTCCAGCTTCTGGCAGTCAGAGATTTAGGGATACCCTGTGAATGGAACTGCATCCTTCTTGATAACAGCCACTGATATATCTGTTATCCATGAATTTATCGAATTCTTTTTTAACCCACTTATATTTTTGGTTTTCACAAGATCCTTAGAAAGGAATTCCACAGGTTGACTGTGCATAGTTTGAAGAAACACTTTCTTATGCTGGTTTTAAACTTGCTGCTTATTAAATCATCAGGTGACCCCTAGTTGTGTTACCCAAAGGCATAAATAAAACTTTCTTATCAAGTTTCTCCACCTCGTTCATAATTTTATATCTCCCCTTGGCTGTGTTTTTTCTAAACTGAACAGTCTCAGGTTTTTTTGTCTCTCTCCTCAGAATCTGTTCCATTGTCTTAATCATTTTTTACTCTCCTCTGTATTTTTTGCAAATTGAATATATCTTTGAGTTGGGGCAAACAGAACTGCACATAATGTTCAAGGGATGGGTGCACCATGGATTTATAAAGGGATACTGTTATATTTTGTGTTTTTTTAACTAACCTTTCCCTAATGGTTTATAACATTGTTAGTTTTTTTTTTTTTACTCTATCTACACATTGGGCAGATGTTTTCAGAAAGCTATCCATGATGACTACAAGATCTTTTTCTTGAAAAGTGAAAGCTAATTTAGACCTTAATATTTTTTATATATACAGGTAGTTTGGATTATGTTTTCCAATGTGAATAATATTGTATTTATTAACATTTAATTTCATCTGCCATTTTTGTTGCACAGTCACCCAGTTTTATGAAATGTCTTTGAGACTCTTTGATGCCTTTGAGACCCTTCACAGTCATCTTTGGACTAAATTATCTTTTGTAATTTTTTTTAATCTGCAAATTTTGCCACATCATCTTTCACTTCCTTTTCCAGATCATTGCTGAATATGAGCAGTCATAGTAGAGATATTTGGTGTGGGAAGGGCTATTGCTCTCTTTCTTCTTATCCCTTGGCTAGAACATAAGAATGGCTATAAGAACTGGGTCAGACCAAAGGTCCATCTAGCCCAGTATCCTGCCTTCCAACAGAGGTCAATGACAGATGCCCAACAGGGAGTGAACAGAACAGAGAATCATCAAGCAATCCCTCTCCTATTACCCATTACCAGCCTCTGACAGAGGCTAGGGACATGATTCCTACCCATCCTGGGTAATAGCCATTGATGGACCTAACCTCCATGAGTTTATCTAGTTCTTTCTTGAACCATGTTAAAGTCCTGGTCTTCACAACTTCCTCTGACAAGCAGTTCCACAGGCCAACCATGTGCTGTGTGAAGAAAAAACAGTTCCTATCTTTTAACTAGTTACTGTTTTCAAAAGAGAATCTACCTCATATCCCATGACTGCTTACTTTGCTTAAGAGACTTTGGTAAGATACCTTGTCAAGGTTTTAATAAAAGTCCAAGTATGCTATATCCATTGGATCATCCTGCCATCTGATACTCTCAAAGAATGCTAAGTCATTGGTAAAGTATGATACCCTTTTCCAACAGCCATGTTTACTCTCTACATACCATGTGCTTCTGTGTGTTGAATAATTACTTTTTTGTTCTAACCAGTTTGCCTGAACTTGGGCCCCAGCCTGTAACTGATAAGACCCCGCAGGAGCCCACTACAAAAACTTCATTTAACATCTCCACAACAGCCTTGTCTTCCTTGAGTGCTCCTATGACACCTTGATCACCCAGCCAAAGGGCTCCGCTGGGCAGGTTTCCCACTGCTGCTGCAGCGTGTTTTAGTTTGCTGTTTGTTAGTTTTACTCTTCTCTAGTTGCTCTTCAAATTCATTTTGGGTCAGACTCGTTATAAGCTGCTCCCCCCCCCACTCCACACACACACACC